CCTTGCCCGCATCCGCCTTCTCTTCCTCCGGAGTCTCGCCAGCAAGCGGCGGTGATGACGGCTGCGATACTGGGTCTGTCTTGACCAGCGCCACCGTACTCGCCTTCTCGACCACCGCCGCTATTGCGGATGCTTTTGCGGACTTGGTGTCGGCATCCGGAGGATCTATTTGTGGTTATTTCCCTCCCGACCGCGCCATCTGTGCCGCCATTCTTTCCAGTAGAGGCCGGTAACCGAAAACCCTCACTATGGAACATGATGTGCGTATCATCTACCTTCGTAAGCTCGGGACACACTCCACGGCCTAGCCAAGGGTACCGTGTGCTGGATCCAGTCAGGGCGAGGTATTTATCGTTGATGAAATCGCGATACGGCTACACAAGATCGCTTGAGATGATATCTGCTGATGCTGTGCGAATCATCTTCTTTATGTAGGCGTCAACTATAGGGGCGAGTTTGCTACCTTTTGAATCCTGAGCCACTTGGTAATTAGCAAATGGTGGCATATATTTTACTGCTACCATTCTAGCAACTGCTGTTAATGTATAATATAATTGACTGTTGAGTATTTTTGTGTCGTTCATCTCATATAATAGTTTGATATATCGTCCATCAGCTCCAGGTTTAGAGTCTATATATGTTATTGCTCTATCTAGTACACTCTGATAAGAAGATAATGAGCACATATATATGAATTCCGGATATTTGTCAATCACATACATATCTGCAAATTATGTCTATATGAAACATCTCGGTCCATACAAGATATTCGAAAATAACCTGACAAACTGACTTCTCAGATCCTTTTCCGACGCTTACAGCTTTTAGTCTTGTGAAAACTAATTTCCTAAACTCGAAGTGTCCAGACATTGTTGTATTAAAATTCCCACATAATTCTCTGTTCGGGATAATGTTCAACGATGCCAATATTTCACTAGACATACCATATCCGCCTTTAGATCCCAATGCTTTATAACGCACAGTGAACTACCTACCACTACTCAGAGTTGCTATAAATATTCCAATAATGATCAAAACTATTCCCCGCAATATATACGTGAACCTGGATAGAATCTGTAATCTCGTCATTCTCTTCTATAACACGATGTAATGTTAAATTTACAAAACTTTCATTTTAAGTTAACTGAACGTTAAGTTAACGAACAAGATGTGACTTAGCTTCTCGTTAGTGATGACCAACGAAGCTGAACGCACGAGCTCTGGAGCTGTTACCTCCTTAACGGCTCGGCTATGCCGTGGGCGGTGAACCGTTTATCGTACTTATTTAAACATGCATTGTTTGTGTCATTTTATGAATTTTAGAAAATCCACTTTTGACCGGTTTTTTGCCTCAAATACCCCTTAGTGAATCGGTTTCGTTTTCTTTTAGTTTTATTTTTTTCACTTAGTATTTTTTTCTTTTCGATGCAAAATGATACGGACACTCCATCAGTCGGTGGGATTCGAAAAACTGAAGTTGGTGGAGTTTCCTACGAAGTTTCCATGGGTTTTTCCTCTACCGGTTTTGACATAACTAATCAGTTTTTTTCATGGGAAAGGAATCTTATATAAGGTCCTTACGACTGACGTTTTAACGCATTGGCTCTTAGGTAGGAAGGGCAGGGTATGATTTGTATGTATAGTATATATTATTCTTGTTGATTTAGTTGATAATTTTCAGTATTTAAATTCCTCATAAATTTTGGTCGCATTCCTTTTTTCCATCCTTTGACAAAAATACCGTCCATAGATAGTTCCGGGCTTTCTTCTCTATGAATGAAAGATTTAATCGAAGGCAACAACAAATACTATTCATGGTAATCTGTCAAGAAAAAAATAAAAATTAAACGATAAAAAAGCAGTTACAACCTGTCACCTTCACTTTGGTACTATTTGTAATACCTCATGGTCATTTGAAGATCTACATCTTTGTTAAGTTCTACAAAGGTTATGCAAGAGCATACGTTCAAGTAAACACTCGTATGATGCGAATTAGAGTCAGTCCCAATTATGACCCGAAAACTTTTCCTGCTTGTCTCCTTCACGACTTCCTGCAGTTTGTTGGGTGGAAAAACTTGGCTGTCCTGAGCCATATATATATTTTTAGAATCTGCATCATGTTCAGAGTCAGTGTTGCCCATTGCCTCTAGCTCCTCCCGTTCAGTGACGGCAATGAATAGTGGCATTGCCCCCTTCTTCCGGCTCGGAGTCAAGAAGCTGGTCCTTATCCAGCGTTGTACACCGTTTGTAGATAACAAAAGATTAAATTTGTATGTGTTTGTAATCGTAGTAGTTATAAAAAATATTATCGGTTGCACAGCACAATATTTTTCTAGTATACAAAATATATATATTTTTTTTTAGTTCAAAAATCGTATGTCATAATCAAAAATACATTAACGATACAATACTAGGTTTGAATTTTTTTTCGCGTTAACTAGTTTATGTTTTCAAGTTGAAAATTATTACCAACAACAAAAAAATGTTTTCTAGTTTAAAAAATAATTCATAAGAAAATCATTTGTCCTAATCAAACACAGATTATCAACACGACAATTGTATGTATGCGAAGCTTAATAATTTTTTTCGCGTTAGCTAACTTCGTTTTTCAAGTTGAAAACTACCGCCAAAATCAAAAACAATTTATCGGCGTTAAAAGAAGTTAGTCCGTGTAACAAATTTTTTTCCAAAATTAAAAAGGAAAAAACATTTTATTCTCGCCGTATAGGCTATCGGGTTATCAGGTTACCAGGTACCAGGTTAAACTCGCCTATCTTTTAATTTCGGGATGCGAATGGATCATACATCCAATTACACATATAAATCACGAAAAAAATGTGCCTTAGGTAGTCATTATCACCGTTCCCTTTTATCTACTTTTCCTCGTCGCCAATGTAATGTCTTGTGAAATAAGCTTATAAAAATAAATAAAAGTGTGCAACTATTTTTTAAATATTTTATTTTTCGCTAATTTTTTATAAATATATGGTTAATTCTACAACAAAAACCCCAAAAATAAAAGTTTCAAACCTTGTGCAAAATTAAAAAAAAAGGGCAAAAGCCCTCAAAATAATACAATCATTTGATTGTATACATGATGCAGTAATGTTTGGCATTTCGCCACAAGATGGTGCATCAATTATATCAGGAACACAATTTGATTTCAAAAGTCTAGAAATTGAGTTTTTGAAGTTATGTCCAGATTATAATGAGACACTCGAATGGGACAAAACATCAATGTCCTTACAATTTCCTATTGATGTTCTTTTTAAGGTTGGACCAGAGTCTCGAAGGATTAAGAAATCAGATGGAGACAAAGTTTGGAAGTTCAGATTCATTACCAAGGAAAATGGTCAACCTTATATTAACTTAAAACAAAACTTTAAACTATTTTATTAAAACTAGTCAGGAATGCATCTAATAATATGATAACTAAACCTCACTAGATTAGTACTTGACATTTTTCCCTCTAGTTATTGGTGTTATCACACATTCCAAGATATTCTGGGAGTTTTGTAGCTTAAGGTAAAACAAGAACTAAACCTATTTATATAATCATCTGTTTGATTATTTGATTCAATTAACATTAAGGCTGTTACAAAAGCTGTTGTTAATTTTGATATTTTAAGACTGTGTTTTCGCAACAGCCTTAGCCTCTTATATTGATTTTTATAACAACGATGCTTAGATAACCATTTGTTAACAGATAAATCTAAAGTAACCAATCTAATAATAGGCTTAAAATTGAATAAGTACAATAGTTCATCAACAGTAAAATTAATATTTGTATTCTTTAAAATTAATGCTGATAATTTATTCAACTTAAGAAATAATTCGTCTTCTACTAACTTAGGAACTAAATTTTCATTTTCTTCGTCAGTACAGCAACATTCGTTTGAATCTACATCACTTAACTCTATTTCAGTTTCTAATTCTAAAGTTTCAGGACCAGAACTTAAATACGTGTTTGTTGGTGTTCCTGAGTATCATCATTGGCTTTCAGAACTTCCAGTTGGTGTCTGTTCTCCTGTAACTTTGGCCTTTTCTTGTGTAGTTTCATTTGAGCTGCATGTGTATATAATGGCTCTATTATTTTCTTCAATGGCAATTCGGTTTCTTGCACTTAACTTTTGTATGTTAACTAGCTCATCCATTAATGAGTTGAGGTTAAATGTTTCTGGAATTCCACCTGTAGCATATTTGGCAAATACTTGGAATTTTGCTGGATCATATGGTTTGCCAGCAGCAGCATACTGTTTGTATGTTTTACATACTATATTGTTAGCAATAGATCTATTTTCATCATTCTTGTTGCTATGNGCCAGCAGCAGCATACTGTTTGTATGTTTTACATACTATATTGTTAGCAACAGATCTATCTTTCATCATTCTTGTTGCTATTAAAGCAGCACAAATAGCAATATGACATTTGCTATAAGCCAACGAATGTCCGCCGCTCTGACAACTCTGGTTTATGGATGCTATCAAGGCACCCTTCGTTAGATCATTTATCTTTTCTGTAAACATATCTTTGTATATGTTGTCCATGCCATCTTTGGAGAATATGGCACCTGCTAGTGGTATCAGTAATATATGACCTTTTAGTAATCCAATTGAAGAAAATGAAACCATGGTTGTTGATGCTATCAAACTAGCCTGCTTCATAGTCATTACTAACCTTTTTTCATCAACCTTTGGCTGTGCAACTGGTGGTTGAGATGTTTTCTGGAGGGGGAGTATATGTATGAATATGTATGTTATATCATACGATATAATCATCCCTGTGCGAAAATAAGCATATGCGCAGTTGTGCCATTCCTAATTCTAATGCTCCTTCAGCTCTGTTCTGTGTTGATCGGCTCTACCGGCAATATGCACACCATCTGCACTGGACGCCGAAGGTGTTGCGGGTTTCTTCCATATAAAAAGAAATTGTTGTAAAGTGTTAGTAAACTAATACAGTTTAACCTAGCTTTAAGTATTCTCTTAGCTCTCTAGCTGCTTTTGCGCATGCATTAAAATGCATGATCTTTGACTCTTGAAATAAAACTCTTTAACGCCGTCTTTTATATGTTTACAATATAAATTCTTATTTCTATGAGTGACCAATCACAACATTGGCCACTCCCTATTTCCCCTACTTCTAATCAAAATGCTTACTTACTATTTTGCATTGACATGTTTATGTACATGTGCGCTGACCCACATATGTATGTGTGCTCGGTAACCTGATCCTGCTCTTGCAATAGCAAGCATCAAGCAAGTTTACCTCATGCGGCGCCGTACGCTAAACGATAGTGTCAGCCGTGACGAGTGTTCCGCATGTGGCATCAAGTGCACTGGTAAGTATGCCACACAGGAAGGTCACAACAAGCACGTCGACTCAGCAATATGAACCGCATGTGCTACGTGTGGTTCGGACGCACTACATTGTCTTTATTCGTTATATGGAAGAAAATTTTTTAAATTTGCGGCCGAAGCAACAATCACCGAATTTCGGGAACAAACATAATCATAGCGCCCTTCCTATTTTCATAGTATGCCCCTTTTTATTTAATTATATTTTCACAATTTTGTGCTAGCAACAACGCGGCAAATTTCCTTTCCGCAGCGGACAGTGTTCTTTTTTATAAATTACCAATAGCTTACACGTATTTAAAACTCGTTTTCACTTTTTATTCGAATCAAAACCAAAAAAATGTACTGAACGTTGTTTGATGTGTACTCGATGACGATATTCTTACGAAGAACCTACGACCGCACACCAAAGCGACAGTTCATTCGTTTTCTCCTGCTAGCACACATCACACACATACATATCTACTATTTACACGATCCTAGCGCACGAACAGCACACTTGTCTCAAAAACATAATTCTTTACTCATCCCATTTGTACAGTGATGATCATCCCTGCGCGAAAATAAGCATACGCGCAGTTGTGTCATCCTCAACGAAACAGATGCGTTAAAACTGACAGAACTAGTGTTCGAATAGTTGCATCATTTAAATTACGAACTCCTCATCTGCACATAAGAATTAAAATTGCTATGTGTATGAGTTAATGAATTTGCCTGTTTTGAAACTATATGCCTTAATTTGTATTCAAAAAGGCTAGCTTAATTTCTTACCTTTCTTTTTATTCCACATATGAATCACGAAAAGAACAGTCTTAGGTAGTCATTATCACCGTACCCTTTTATCACACGTCTAGGATGCCGATCGAAATAAATCAAAACGAATGTGTCCCACACGATAGGCGCATTTATTTTGTTTTATAAAAAATTGATATATTCGCAGTAAAGCGACGTTACAGTTATTTTTCCTTCATCGAACTGCCCATTCAAGCCTTATAGTATGTTCACGTTCGTGTTTATGGTGCAACGTGAACATAAAACTACTCTGAAAATATTATGGCGAGGGTATGCATTTTATTATTTTTTTTTCACTTTTTTGTTTTGTTGTAAATAACACGCGAACATGCCACATATAATTGACCATAAGAAAAGCATGGAATTTAAAAGCAACACCACGTACTTCCAAATACTGACCCGGCGTGTTATTACTGAGATTCCTACTTATCCCCGGATTACCGTAACGTGTTTCTGATTATTCCGAGCCGAATTCGTTGTCAATTCCGGAATTTGTAACTTTTTTGCTACAGATCCTGTGGCAGTAAGATTTCACTATAAATAAGGAAAAAAAAATTCTTAAGTAGTCATTATCACCGTATCCCTTTTATCATACCTTCCCTCGTCGCCACTTTTATAGTTTGTTTAATTTGTTAATTTAGGGCCGTTTTCTCAAGTAACCTGTAACTTTAAAGCTCACTTTATATATAATGGTTACATTGCAATTTATAATTGTGTCTAAAGTAAAGCATTTTATTATCGGTTTTAAATTGGTTTACAACCAGAAACATACATACGTCAAAAACCGATAATAGAAATGCTTAACTTTAGACATAGCTTTATTTTTAATCCAAACTTTAAATATAAACTGAGCTTTAAAGTTAAAGGTTACTTCAGAAAACGGCCCTTAGTAAAGTAAATGCTTTAATAGCAATTGGGTCCATCATCTGCTGCAAACTTGGTACTTTCAGTACGTTCTTATCATGATGTAACAAATAACCATTGAGGATTGCATGCTGAGAGATGCAAAATATGTTGTTGTATAATAGTAAGAAAATAGAATATTGCAACAAACAATATTGATGTTGAGATAAAAACGAAATGCTAAAATAGCACTTACAACTTGTCACCTTCACTTTTGTACTATTAGTAATCCCTCGTGGTAGTTCGAAGATGTACATCTTTGAATCCTCAGATGCGCAAATATACAGAAAATAATAAACTCACCTGAGGTGTCGCTGGCTGTCGGTCACAGAATAGGACGAGACTTTATGAAATTGCCGCATTTATAAGCTCCACAGAAGGTGGAATCTGACAAGGGGATCGCCTAACAGGACTCGTGCCAAAAGGGAGATAAAGTATACGAGTCCTGTCAGCGAGTGATTAGCAGCGACATCTCTCGGTGAGAGTTGTGGTTCTAGATTTAAGCTGCAGGCTTAAACAAATTCTCCGTTGCTGTATTTAAACAAAGGGGGAAAACCCCAACACGCACAAACCCGATACCAAATCAAAAACAACTATTATTAAAGGGAAAAAGGCCGAGACCGGAAAACCTTTTTCTTTATTTACTTACTTTTACTTTTCCCATTTGTACAGTGGTGATCATCCCTGCGCGAAAATAAGCATACGCGCAGTTGCGCAATCCCTGTACGCAACAATAAGTAATTTCCTAGGTCTAAAAATACTATCTTTTACTTAGTCTATATTTACATGTTGTGTACAAGTGTAGAATCCAAATTTGCCACAGGGCGAAAACGACGTTGTACACAGGGACGACTCAGTACTAGCCGCGGCCAAAAATAGAAGGAGTTGAGCTAGAAGCGCCAAATTTAGTACACGCTATTATTTTCGGAAAATATAGTTTTGTTTGGAAAAAATCAAAATCGGATAACAGATAGGCACACCTCCCATATAAAAAAAAGTAACATCCTATGCTAACTCTGCAAAGAATCAACATATTTCAATGAAATTTGGAACACGTGGTGAGTTAAACTATATTATTGCCCCACCAAAAATTATCGTAATCCCTTCACTACAACGTCTATAAGATGCAGAAGAAAAATTCCAAAACTTTTGCATAAACAACAAATTTATTTCATATAAAAAATTCACATCAAACATAATCTTCATCACTTGTTTCTTCATTGCTATGGATTTCTTCAACATCTGCCGCAGGTAAAAGGTAATTTTGTATATCATTCGTTAGAACTTAATTTCATTGAGCGTTTATTATATGTTAGCAGTAGCTCTGAAGATAGCAATTAGTTTGGCCATTAAATCGTAGTTAGTAGCTTGACGTGATGTTTTCCTAGTGTTGAATTGCGAACCTTTCTTAATTCTTTGTGGTTGCTTTCAATTGGTTCTTCGGATAAATATCCTATAGGTATTTGAAAATTGTTGATTACTTGGCAACCATGAATAAGAGCCTTGTGCACAGTGCTGGGCATATAGTACCAAGGGTATAAACTGATATACAGATCTCTAGTTTCATTAAGCAATTCTTGGAATTTATTTAGATCGACAAGTCTTCCGCAAGAGATAACGCTTAAAATTGTGCCAAATTTCTTTATTAAGTCTATTAATTTTTATTGGTCTGCAAAATTTAGGAGAGGATCAAAGTGTAGTCAACAACATTTGTTGTCCACTCTCTGCATAAGTAATGCGGATAGGTACAAATGCAGATACTAGTTGAAATTCATCAGTACTTTCAGCTTCTGAAAATTTTCGTTTATAGCGGCTGGTGACCCGAACTACCATCAAATAGTTTCTGCAACTACAGATTTGTCCTCGTAAAGTACGTTGACTTGATGATGTGTTAATCCACAACATTAATTCTGTCCAGAAGCTTGTGATGGCGTTCCTATCCTGCAAAACTGACAAATTTAATGTTGCTGCTGCGGATGTACTCACCTCTTCTGCTAGGGCTTGGGTCTGAGAAGATGTTCCTGTTGTTGCTGGAATTGCAGCCACTGGCAAATAGATGATCAAATTTGGAACCACAGTCGAATTTTTAATCCCAATTGTATACTTTATTAGATGTATGCTAGTGAAATTTAATTAAAATCTAATATAAAACACAAAATTTTCACTAAGCTTCGATTATTTTCACACTAAGATGCTTGTAACAACTTTAACTCAGAATTCGCATAATAAACTTTGCAAATAGAAAGACAAATCAGAGCACAATATAAGTTGAACGTCACAGCTTGACGTTTGCTTAGTGAGACAAAAATTCTTTAAACAATAATGATGATTGATCTCCGGGAGTTCTTAGACATAGAATGATATATTTCATGTCTATCAATATGTCAGGATAAAATGTAATGTCACCGCTATAAAACTTGATAAATGTTTTACAAGTTTCTCGTCTGAACTGTGTTGTTGAAATATTGAATATTGCTGGACAATGAATACATTGCAAAATTTGATGGCAAATCAATTGATCAACTAATCGCTCGAATACGGTTAAACCCTGGTCCAAACTTTATTTCTCCATTGCTGCTGACTGCAGGAATTCATCCTGCTTTCCAGCAAAAACGCACTCCCACAATATTAAGGGAATCGTTGTCTTTAACGCTAAGTTAGGTGTAGCGGTCGATATCTGTCTTGTAGGTAGTTACCTAATGGTATACTTGAATGTGTTGGAAAAAAAAAATATTTTATTGAGGTTATTTACTCCAGCCCTTTAGTTGTGACTAATGTATATTCGGTGGTAAATAGTTACCAAAAAAATGAGTTCTTTCAAACCGATTTGGGGGTAACAAGTAATAGACACTGCTTTACTGATGCAAATACTCTTTATTTTAAAGTTTTTTTGGTTTTGTTGCAATCAGTTCGTAGAATATATTTGGTACACTTGCAGGCTAGTCTGATCCATTATTTGATGGTGCAAATAAAAACACTTATTTCACCTTCGTTGCCCAACGTTTCGCTGAAATTTCCAGCATCATCAGGGGCGAAATAATATTAAACATTTGTTTCAAAATTTAACATTTATACCTATACACATAATAAGTACCACTCTCTATGGTAGTCTTGTCTTATTTTAAAATTCTCTACCCCTTTAAAACTGGTGGGGGCTAAAAAAATAAGAGGTTAGTACTTTAAATATTAAATGCTTTACCCCTTACCACTGGTGAGGGAAAGTAAACCATTAATAGAAAGATATAAAGAAAAGGATAAATTGTTAAATGCTTTACCCCTTACCACTGGTGGGGGGAAGCAAAGCATACAAATAAAAGTGTGTTAAAAGACGAAGTTGGTATTGTGAGAGTCTTGACGAATCTCATCTGTTCAATATTTTATGCTTTTATACAACTTTTAATTTTAATTTTGAGGATTATTAATAAGTTCTTACGTGAGCTTAGGATATTTTGGTTTAAGAAAAAAAAATAACGCATATAAGGTCGATTCGTGCTCTTTACTTCACACCTAAAATGTGTGATTCAAGTAAAACAAGTCTTTTAGAATTTAGGTTTGCATTCGAGTAGTATTTTCAAAAGTACGCAGTGAAAATAATAATTCCCTAACAGCAAAAAAATATAATTCGGGGTCTTAAGTATTTCTTCTTTTAATATGGTATGACAACCGTTTGGCGGTTTGAATCAATTGACGATTTACATAGGTACGAAGTTATAATCCTACGAAGATCGAAATAAGTTAATATATGCCATCGAAATACAAAGTTATTTTCATTTACAAATATTAATATAAAAAAAAACCAATTAAAAACACATTGAACAATTTTTTGTTATTAATGCTTAAGTAAGATATTAAGAAAACAAGCTGCTTTTCTCATAATTCATATGTAGAAAGAAGTAATAATTTTATATAAACATGTTTACATAAGTTATGCAAAATTTTAGTTGACAAGCAAAAAAACAATGTTTTATATGATTAATTTTAAGAAAATCATAACTTTTTTGATAATAATTATCTGGCTATTATTTATAATTAATTTACTAATTTACTGATAGTTTCAAAGTCTGTAAAAACAATGTGTTATTACAAATGTTTGTGAATAGCGTTAAAGAAATTTGCAAGTTGAGCGATTTTGGCTGTAAAGACGTTTAAAGACATTCCAAATCTTGCAGGAGCGATTGAACAGATTAAATATTAAATCGACAGCCGCGTGCCTCTTAATTTTTTTTAACATAACAGATTTCAATTCAAATGATCGACTTACGATTTGTATTTCGGTCTCGCCTAAAGGCAGTATTCTCTTTTTCCATGGGCGACTGAGAGATGAAGGTATCTTTCCGCACAGTATAACTTGGTAAAAATTAGCCAAAATCACTCAATTACGCTACAAAATGCACCATATATTAATATATTCATTCATATATTAATAAGTACCTTAAAATGTTACATTGAAATTGAACATAATTTAGAATTTACAGTTGCAAGTAACATGTAAGATATGTTTCTAAACAATAAAAAAAAAACAATTGAAGTATAAAATCGTTTTGTTTTTTTATTAATTAAAGCTACCTCAAGGTAAGTGGAGAAGTGAACCCACATTTTTGTTTTTATTCACTATATATTAATTTTCTTTATAGGGGGAAAAAGTTGTTACATATTTATTAGCAAATGGACTGGAATGAAATATGCGTGGCGACAGATTTCAAAATTATGTCACCAAAAATCGCAATTAAAAAGAACGGACTAAAGCGGATAGAATCCTGCATATTCGAATTGAATACAAATAAACCGATATAAAAAAATTTCTTAAGCAGTGCTCACACGATTTTGACAGTGACACGAGTGGTGTTGTCCCTGGTGAAATTATACCAGGTGTAGTATGTAATAAAATTTGTTAGAAAAAATTTCAATAAGAAAGCCGGATGCCAAGAAAACAAAGAAAATAAAGCGAGACAGCTGTTTTATTACTACCACACCTGATATAATTTTACTATGGGTCTTGTCTAGAAATTTTTATGGAGAATGAGTTCAGTCTCAGTAAAAACAAAATTTCCAAACAACCCCATTGTCAAAATGTACAAATATGCACAAATCGTGTGATCCCTGCTTTAGAGAATCAAAAAAAAATCTTCCCAAATTTTGAGTGGATTTTTATTTCCGATAGACGTAAAATGACCACATACATATTTGTTTGTTCACTTAACTTAGAGTTCTTTTCTCTGCGCTTCAATTACCAAAGCGATGTATTTTAGTATAAACAGACGGCCCGTTAATCCGTATTAACGGCGCAGTTGATCTGTTAAAAATTGTACCCTGACAAAGGACTGCATGCGGGTTAAGCTAGCCGCGAGGTCTCGTGAGTTCGAATTCCACGACGAGCAACATTTTTCTTAGCTCCTTCAATTATTCCTTTTTTTATTTTGTAATGTGGCCTTTTTTTTAAAAAATTACAACTCTAAAAAATCATACTAACTTCATAATTATGTCAAATAACATCCACAAATGAAATAACTGGACTAAATAAAATAAAACAATTTAATAATAATAAAAATAAATATAAATAAAATAAACAAAGTTAAAAACCAAAAACAAAACAAAAATTAAAAAATAAATAAAAAACGAAAAGGAAAAAAAATAAAAAACGAAAAGGAAAAAAAATAAAAAAGAAGAAAAAAAACGAAAAGAAAAAAAGAAAGAAAAACAGGAAAAAGAAATAAAAAACGAAAAGGAAAAAGATAAAAAACGAAAAGGCGAAAAATAAAAAACGAAAGGAAAAAAATAAAGAAACGAAAAGGAAACAAATTAAAAAAGATAAATAAATGAAAGAAACAATATATAAAGCTATTTTTTAAGAATTTCTTGGAGTGGGGATCGAAACTGGGACCTGTTGAGTTGTAGTACACAGTTTCGACCACTCAGCTACCGCGGACACCAAAGTCTTTTGCTTTGCTTTCTTACTTGTTTACTCAGGGAACGTAGTGATAACAGAGAACATGCAAAACCATAATGCAATGATACAAGGTAATATCAGTTGTGACAGTTCGATTTGACACTGCCTTAGCTCAGTAGGATGAGAAGAAAAACGGAAGAAATTAATCCCCATATGGGGGAAAAATATAAAATTTCACATTTTCTCCTAAACAAAATTTGTTTTTTTATAGTATATTCGTAATCAAATGAAATAAAATAAGATAAAATACCAAATACCTTTTTAAGAAAACAAAACTTTCAACTATATTATTAGGCAAAGAATTGTTAAAGAAGTAACACTGTTTCACCTAAGGCAGTCAATATGGCGGAATTAGAGCGAGAAGTTGCTAACCGATAACACCTTGTATTATTGCATCATGATGCAAAACAAGCTTGGACATCTCAACGTCGGTAATGCAGTCACCATACGAACCCAGCCAGCTGAGAAACGTAAACTTTGCCGACTGTGCGGTCTCGCACAATTTTCCCTATCCGGCAGCGAACAGAAACCACTACAATTTTCAGGACAAAAATCCGCAATTCATACACTTTGCCCTTTTTCTGATGCATTTTCGGATTTATTGCCGGCTGGGCATCTCTCCTCACAAAAAATATGTATTTTTTTTCATACTAGAGTGTGACACTTGTATTTAACCTGAGCTTTTACCGCCGATTTGTGTTAATATCTTACAACGTTTTATCAGTTGGTCACTCACAGTAGTGATGTAAATTTTCATTACTGCCCAACCGCTGTTTTGACTGTCCGTCAAATTTGTCACTCACATGCTTATAACAGGCATTCGAAAAAAATCGATAAAGCAGACCGGACGTCAACTTTTAGCAGGCAGTCGAGAGACGAGCCCTTAGTACAGGGCTCGAATCGTAACTCCATTCACTGACCGAAAACGATATGAAAGAAAATTACGTGATACGTCAGGCAGTATAAGCTGGGCTCGAATCGTAACATACGTTATCGTATTACTCGTCAGTAAAAATACATTTTTCGCATTATGACATACGTGAACGTACTCTTTGTCCCATTCAGATTATACTGCCTGACGTATCACGGAATTTTCTTTCGTATGGTTTTCGATCCGTGAACTGATGTTACGATTCGAGCCCTGAATGGGACACAGAGTACGTTCACGTATGCCATAATCCGAAAAATGTGTTTTTACGTACGAGTAGTACGATATCGTATGTGACGATTCGAGCCCTGTTTTAGACATACTTCGTTTCGGATACACACATTAGTGCGGTGGTGGGCATCGGCCTATCCGCGGGCAAAGCTCTTTCAAGCTTGTATACATTTAGTATAGAAAGCTTTAAGGAGCTTTGCCCGCAGGCAGGCTGATTGTTGTTGTAACAGCATAAAAATTCCCCAAAGAGTTTTTTGGGAGTGCTATTGGAGTGGCAGTCCTTGGCCAGGGCATGAATCACGTAACTTTGAAACGATAGTCGTTCAAACGATACTGACAAAACGATGCCATCAAAACAATGATTTATGCATTTGTGTTGCTCTTACGTGAAGCAAAATTGGAATCGAGTTGACGATATCGTACAAACGATCAAAAAATTTTTGGTCTTCATCAAGCAAGACTATCTCCACACGATATCGTTCAGACGATTGTCGTAGTACGTGATTCATGCCCAGCTATATGTACATACACAAATCTGGGTCGTTCCGTTTGCATAGACCCGACAGTCGTTGGAACGCGGGCAAGCTGATGAGCACCGCTTTAGTTACAGAACGTATCGATTCGATTGTATACGAAATTTTTCGCATTTTCGAATACGTTTCCGGATAGTTTGCTGGCTGGTAGGTTAACAGACCCAGCAAACACGGTCTCTAACGTTGGAGAAATTTGGATTTCTACATTAGATAACTAGGGTATTTCTCTAATCGTTCTCGAGTCGATGGCGGAAGTTAGAGAACTATATTAGAATTCGATTCGAGAACGATTAGAGAAAAAACGCAAATTCAAATAAATGTAAATAAGCAATATTCCAAATGAATCATAATTTTTTTTTTTGTTCAAA